GCTATGTCCGGGCACCGGTCCACGGGCTACAGGCTGTATGTCGGAGTGACATGTGCTATGTCCGGGCACCGGTCCACGGGCTACAGGCTGTATGTCGGAGTGACATGTGCTATGTCCGGGCACCGGTCCACGAGCTACAGGCTGTATGTCGGAGTGACATGTACTATGTCGGGGCACCGGTCCACGGGCTACAGGCTGTATGTCGGAGTGACATGGGCTATGTCCGGGCACCGGTCCACGGGCTACAGGCTGTATGTCGGAGTGACATGTGCTATGTTCGGGCACCGGTCCACCGGCTACAGGCTGTATGTCGGAGTGACATGGGCTATGTCCGGGCACCGGTCCACGGGCTACAGGCTGTATGTCGGAGTGACATGTGCTATGTCGGTGCACCTGTCCACGGGCCTTACACTGCTGGCCCACCCAACACGAAACTGGATAAGAATTCAAATAATTTACAGCCATAAATCTGTAACAAATGTTCCGTTTTGGCGAAGAGACCCATCCCCTGAGGCGCTACAGCCCATGTAGAGCTTTGGCCTACCTCACTACTCCCATCCACTCAGACCATCCATCCATCCCTTGAGGCGCTACAGCCCATGTAGAGCTTTGGCCTGCCTCACTACTCCCATCCACTCAGACTCAAATAATGATTTTCTTTTCCATGCTTGCATTCCCAGCAGCTGTAGAGCTTTTTCCACATCATCCATCCACCTAAGCCTAGGTCTGCCTTTGAGTCATTTTCCTCTGGGTTTTTTGGTGATGTACCCTCCTCACTCTTCTGTCAATTGACATTCTTTCTAAGTGTTTTGTCCAGCTACCCTTTTATATTAAAAGGAACACAATGACGCGCTCACTATACATGGAGTCGCTCGAACCTACCAGGGAGAATCTGCGTCATTTAGCGAACATGGGGTCAATTTCTTGCCTTCTGACAGATTTCCTGCAGTAAATTGACAAACATTAGAGACTTCAACCCGAATAAAAATAAAAATCCCGGACAGAGGCGTAGCTAGAGTGTTTGGCGCCAGGGGACAAGATTCGCGCCCGGGGACAAGATTCACTGTAAAGCGCTCCCTTTTCTTTTTTCATCTCTCAAACCCATTATTTTCATCAATAAAATAATATCAAAGCACATTTTGGCACCCCTCACTAGCTGGCGCCCGGGGACATCTGTCCCCCCCCCCTGCAGCCCCTTCGCTACGCCTCTGACCCGGACCAAAATCCCGAAGACATATTATGTCTGTTCACGTTTTGTTTCGGCTAAGATACACTTATATTTTTTTACAAGTAAAATGGTATTTTAGATATTTTAAATACAAGGGTTTGCCCCCCCCCCCCTTTTTTTTTTCAAGGATGAATGTGAAAACTCCTTAATTACTTAATATTATAATATCCTCCAAAGATGTAGGCTTGCAAATATACTAATGTATAGAAAACAAAATCCCCAATTCCGACAAGATATAATTTATAGCATAATACCCTAAAAACCGAGAAATAAATTTATTGAACTTATACAAAAAGAACATGACTTAAACCCTTAGGTCAAATTCCACGACAGTTTTGGGTGGTGTACGCTGTTTTCGTAAAAAAGGTTTGCATACAATGGCACAGATACACACACAAATACGGCTACTATTACATGGTAATAATTCATAGAAGAGCGTCCTATCTCCGTAGCCGATCCACCGGTCCACAAAACTTAAAAGTTTGGGAACCCCTGCTTTTACCCCCCCCCCCCCCTTTGATACAATCAAGAGATGTCTTGTTTCTGAACGGCTATCAACAAAGTGGCCCGAGACATGTGCATTGGTGACAAGCAATCCAGTGAACATCAACCGCGGTGACTGTCACAATGGCTGATGGGGACCTGCACGACGTCATTGTCATTATTCAAGGAGCCTCGGGTAGTGATGAAACAAGCGTGGACAATGAGTCCAGTGCCGTAACAGGGCGTGCATCGGTTCCCGCATCTAAACAAACTCCGGCTGAAAATATAGTAAACAGGAGACAGGAGAAACCTTTGAACGACGAGGTAATTGCTTTTTGGTTCAAATGATATGATCTCATTTAACAGAGGTGGGTGACACGCATGGCTCGTGCAATAGTGGGTGACACTCATGACGGGTGCAATAGTGCAGGAGTGGGTGACACGCAAGCCTGGTGCAATAGTACAGTGGAGGGTGACATGCATGACTGGTGCAATAGTGGGGTGGTGGGTGACAAGCGCGACTGGTGCAATAGTGCAGGAGTGGGTGACACGCATGACTGGTGCAATAGTGGGTGACACGCGTGAGTGGTGCAATAGTACAGTGGAGGGTGACATGCATGACAGGTGCAATAGTGGAGTGGTGGGTGACAAGCGCGACTGGTGCAATAGTGGATGAGTGGGTGACACGCATGACTGGTTCAATAGTGGGTGACACGCGTGAGTGGTGCAATAGTACAGTGGAGGGTGACATGCATGACAGGTGCAATAGTGGGTGACACGCGTGAGTGGTGCAATAGTGCAGTGGAGGGTGACACGCATGACTGGTGCAATAGTGCATTGGAGGGTGACACGCATGACTGGTGCAATAGTGCAGTGGAGGGTGACACGCATGACTGGTGCTATAGTGGAGTGGTGGGTGACAATCGCGACTGGTTCAATAGTGGGTGACACGCGTGACTGGTTCAATAGTGGGTGACACGCGTGACTGGTTCAATAGTGGGTGACACGCGTGACTGGTTCAATAGTGGGTGACACGCGTGACTGGTTCAATAGTAGTGGGTGACACGCGTGACTGGTGCAATAGTGGGTGACACGCGTGACTGGTTCAATAGTGGGTGACACGCGTGACTTGTTCAATAGTGGGTGACACGCGTGACTGGTTTAATAGTGAGTGACACGCGTGACTGGTGCAATAGTGCAGGAGTGGGTGACACTCATGACTGGTGCAATAGTGCAGGAGTGGGTGACACGCAAGCCTGGTGCAATAGTACAGTGGCGGTCGACATGTATGACTGGTGCAATAGTGGAGTGGTGGGTGACAAGCGCGACTGGTGCAATAGTGGATGAGTGGGTGACACGCATGACTGGTTCAATAGTGGGTGACACGCATGACTGGTTCAATAGTGGGTGACACGCATGACTGGTGCAATAGTGGGTGACACGCATGACTGGTTCAATAGTGGGTGACACGCATGACTGGTTCAATAGTGGGTGACACGCATGACTGGTTCAATAGTGGGTGACACGCATGACTGGTTAAATAGTGGGTGACACGCATGACTGGTGCAATAGTGCAGTGGTGGGTGACACGCATGACTGGTGCAATAGTGGGTGACACTCATGACTAGGGCAATAGTGCAGTAGTGGTTGACTCGCGTGACTGGTGCAATAGTGCAGGAGTGGGTGACACTCATGACAGGTGCAATAGTGGGTGACACTCATGACTAGGGCAATAGTGCAGTAGTGGTTGACTCGCGTGACTGGTGCAATAGTGCAGGAGTGGGTGACACTCATGACAGGTGCAATAGTGGGTGACACTCATGACTAGTGCAATAGTGCAGTAGTGGTTGACACGCGTGTTTGGTGCAATAGTGCAGTGGAGGGTGACACGCGTGACTGGTGCAATAGTACAGTGGTGGGTGACACGCGTGGCTGGTTCAATAGTGGGTGACACGCGTAACTGGTGCAATAGTGCAGTGGTGGGTGACACGCGTGGCTGGTTCAATAGTGGGTGACACGCGTAACTGGTGCAATAGTGCACTGGTGGGTGACACGCGTGGCTGGTTCAATAGTGGGTGACACGCGTAACTGGTGCAATAGTGCACTGGTGGGTGACACGCGTGGCTGGTTCAATAGTGGGTGACACGCATAACTGGTGCAATAGTGCAGCGGAGGGTGAAAAGCGTTTAGTTTTATTTTCCCGAGTTCGCAGCTTTCTATAAAGACATCACATGACTAAGTTTTGAGAGTAACATTTTAGACACTAATTTAGACATTACTTTAGTTTAATAGGCCTACTGGATAAGTCAGAGAGACATTTAATTATTTAATGAATTTGCTGCGCCCTCCCCCTGGATAGCTTATTAAGACTCATTACACAACCCCACAGGAACCCCCCCCCCCCCCCCAAAAAAAAAAAAAAAAAAACAAAAAAAAAAAAAAAAAAAAAAAAAAAAAAAAAAAAAAAAAAAAACAAAAAAACAAAACAATAAAACAACGCACAGTTATAGGCCTGTCGTTATTTTCTATACAATAATATGTATGTTAAAAGAATACATTTTTATATTACACAATGTAAATATAAGGATTCAATAAATGTTTACAATGTTAATAAATATACATGCAATGTTCGCTCAAACTCCTGAACTGGCCACACCCACGTTTTGTCACTACTAAGCCTATGCAGCCTATTTTTATCAAGACTTGTAGTTTGAATAATATAGATTTCCTCTCTTTTTTACAGAGTCTCCTTTTGGCTGCAAATCTTGTTCTTGATGTTAAAATGGGACACAACATGCATTACATTGAGGCTGAAAAATATGTCAAGTAAATCTAAATCCCAATTCTTAATTAATTCGGTGATTCTCGAAGCTTAAATGTTTGCCTTATAAATATGATAGTATTTTGAACAGAGTATCATATTGAAAAAAAGTTTGTCAAGTACTGGTTCAAATTATATTTAGCAGAGTGGAACAATTGTTACAGTGATCTTCAAGCATTTTAAACCGTTTTTTTTCTTTCTTGCAGATCATATATTTGGTACAACTCAGTGTATCTCAGATGGACATTGTATTTCTGCATTGCTTTTAACATGTCTCTGGCCATATTTGAAAAACCTGCAGTACCCAATGCAGAGATCCCATTTTGGGTGAGAAAAGCCATTGTCCTACCTAACTTTATTTTTCTCTTGTACAGATGGGGTTAGCTCTTAAAGCTTGTTTAAATAAATATATGAGCAAGGGGATAAAACATACAAAAATGTATTTTCCTAATTAAAACAGAATCTGTCCCCAAGTTTTCCTAATTAGAGACACTGTCTGAACATGACCAACTGAGACACTGGTCTCTCTGCACAACTTCAAATCTGACTCTTTGATTTATTGATTTTTGTAACCTAATTGTTTGGGAAAACTTTGAGTTTATAATTTATGCATTTCTTTCATAATCATTTCAGGGTACAATGATCATGGAATTTTTTTGTCTAAGTTATTTCACTTTTCGACTTCTTCATGCCTTTAACTTTCAACATTCAAAAGTCTTCATCAAAGATACCAAAAATATTGTCGTCATAGTGGTAATACTGGTAAGTATTATATTTATGTTTGTTTAATATTAAATTACCATTTCTTTTTACTAATCATAAATTTAAAGGGGTTAGTACTGGTACTAATTATATTTATATTTAAAAAAGATATTTATAAACTAAGTAGGCCAATCTTTTAAAAAATGGATTAATGTAATTTTGAACCTGTTCTTAAAGAAATAAACTCAAACATAAACTTGAATGCTTATTTCATACAATTTATTTTAATTAGATCAATTTCATACAACTGAGTGAACTGACTGATAGAGAATATAAAAAACCAAAACAAAAAACAAAACAAAAAAAACAACAAACAAACAAAAAAAAAAAAACATTTCTTTATATTTTCTGAAGTTAATAACAAAAATCAACCAGAACTGTTTCATTTCACCCTAAGCTTACAATATTGGATATGATTTGTTACATCATCTGGATTAATGTAGCCCCTGATACCCACCCTGTCAGATGGTCAAGACCCCTTAGATCATTGTTCATTATCAACTTTCCTGATGGGAAACAGGTTTGGTCTTTATTTTTGTAATGATCTTCTAAGTTTATCTATATGCATCAACTATGCTAATCATAGTTTGTAGTTCTGGTTACAAGACGTCATAATTTCAAATGTATACATAACATATACATTTTTATGAGTGTTCAGCTCTGTCTTTTTACACATCAATCTTTGTGTTTGATTCCATTGATTGCATCGGGTCAGCATATCCCTTTATCATTTGTTTTTCATACATTTTCGGTAATATGCTAATATATATATTTTTAAATATAGCATAAATGGTGCATTCTTTCTGAGTGATAACGTAATTAATAATTGTAAAGCGCTTAGAGCTGTAAGGTTAGCGCTATAAAAAAAAAATGCCTAACTAAATAAATAAATAAAACGTAGTTAGACCAGATTTTACTGATTGTTTTGGGGGGTGGGGGGGGGGGGAATTAACAGAAGGAAGCCCATTTTTTTGTCTTTTCATGAATAAATGCTGCTATATAATGTAAAGAAATTTAAGTAAAACCTAAAACATAGTTTAATTTAAATTTCGGAAGTCCAATGTTTGGTGTATAAATGAAATGAATTGATTTAGCTTGTGATTGTGGTCCTACATCACAGAATATTTAAATCATATCATAAATCATTTGAATAAATTTAATCTATTTCCCTTTTAGGTTCGCAGAGCCTTTCGAAATATCCGCCGAACAGTGCCTGATATTATGACTGTTCTCTTTCTATTTCTGCTGAGTATCCTGCTGTTTGGTCTACTGGCACTAAAGCTGTTTCATAAAAGGCTAGTTTGATCATTAATTGTTTCCGACAATACTTTATATTATTTTTAAGGAGAATAAATTAGAGATAGATTATACACCAACTTATGCTTTAAAAAAGTTAATTAACAATTTGGAGAAACCAACGGGTCATTCTGACTACATCTTTTTATTGCCATTTGTTAATTTTTTTTGCTTGTGAGATGATATAACTACTAATTTTTCATCTGATTATGTGTGATTATTTTATGCCTAAAACAATTGGTCATTACTTTGTTCTCCTGTCATAATCACATTTGAATGTATTTAATTTGGTTGTTTATTTGATTTTTTTAACAAAGGGAAATTACCTACCCCTCAGGAGAGCCATATTTTAGAAACTACTTGGAATGTATTTGGGATCTTTATGTCTTGGTGACTACTGCTAACAACCCTGATGTCATGTGAGTACTGTTGTAACTTGTAAATTAAATACTGCTGTAAGCCAATATGTATGATATCTATGTGAAACAACACATTTATTCATGTGTTCTTTATATGAATGGTTTACAATTATTTTATCAATTTATTACAAGTCAATTTTGGGATCACAGAATTTTCCTTTTATATAGTTCATGGCAGTGTGAAACTAAAAATGTTTAAAATAGATGAATAATGAAGCCATTGTGATTTTAAGCTAATTATTTCACATTGCAGTTACTGGATAAAGTAATATATATACCTTTTGCACAATTAAATCAGGAAGAAGAATGGATGAAACTACTCCTGAACCTATCTAATAATTTCCTATTGCGTTCTTTGTCTCAATCTTGTCAGCTTAAAAATGAAGTTCTCTATTACACAGGATGCCTGCTTATGACAGAAGTAATTGGTTTGCACTATTCTTTGTCATTTACCTCATTGTCTGTCTGTACATCTTCATGAGCGTTGTGCTGGCTACAATATACAACAACTACAAGACAAATCTCAAGGTGGGTATCTCTTTTATTTTAAACACATAATAAATGTTTGAAAGAAACAGTCAAATACTTGAATATTTCAAATAAATCAATGATAAGAAAGCCCCAAATTAATCAATTAAAATCAATATTACTTTAAAAAAGCATGCATCCTTGAGAATTTAGTATTATGGAATTTCTTATTAAAAACTTAATATTTTATATCATCATACTCATCTTAAAAACAAAAAATTAATTAAAAAATAAAATTATTTTACTGAAAAAATAACTTATAGACAAATAAAGAATTTTTTAAATTATTTCTCATGTTTCAAAATATAGTGTAAAATGTTCATGTAGGTTTATAATTTTTGTTTGCTAATCTCTCATCAGAATGAAATAAAAGCTGCTGTATTCCTGAAGCGACAGAAACTTGCAAAGGCTTTTGATTTGTTGAAAGTAAAACGAGGCAATAAGGAAGTTCTGACCTATTCAACCTGGAAGCAATTTGTAAGCATCATTCTACCTGGCAAGTCAGAAGTGCACACTGATCTTCTCATGAAAATCCTTGATCAGGATAACACCAATGTGTTAAGTAAGCAAAATTAGATACAAGTATTATGTTGAGGTCTAACTCAGTGCCTAAATACCTTCATACTTAAGTTGGGAAACATGAAATAATAATCCTAGTTCAAAAGAAAATTGCCAAAGAAAAACTTTTTAGCAATTTTGAAACAAAGTTTATTTTTTGTGAATGATGTGTGATATGTAGTTGGTTTACTTAAATTAAAACTTAAATGGCAGAAATTAAAATCTTTAGTATTATCAAAAATGAATCAATAGCTATAAACCACAGCTACATAGACAAAAGTAAATTGGTGTAGTTAAATAAAAATATTGAAATGGATTTCAAATAAAATCTACTAGGTAGGTTACAATCTTAAAATTTTCCTTTTATACAAATTATGCTCTATTAAAAGCAGAGGAACCTTCAGTAGCCAGATTAATGAATCTGATAATAAATTAAATTATTTGTTTACAATTTTTAGTAATTCAGCATGGCCCTAAGCATAGACAAAAGTAAATTAATGTAGTTAAATAAAAATATATGAATGGCTTTCAAATAAAAACTTCTAGGTAGTTAAAATCTTAAAATTACTTGTCTGTCAAATTTTCCTTTTACACAAATTATGGTCTATTAAAAGCAGAGGAACCTTCAGTAGTCAAATTAATGCATCTGATAATAAATTAAATTATTTGTTTACAATTTTTAGTAATTCAGTATAGCCCTAAGCAAAGATAAACAGTAATTACACTTGAATTTGCAAATTATTATTCTAACACACATAATTATTCTATCATGAAGCATATATTGATAATTAAATATTTTATATTTTTCTGCTTGCTTATATCAACAGATAAGAAAAGTTTCCTCAATCTGACTGATCTTTTTCATGTAAAACTTACAGAGGTCAAAGATCGTCTGACGCTCCTGGAACAATTTTTTCCTTATGTGTACAACCATTATGTTAGTGAACATTTCAAATTTGTTGTCAGACACAGGTAAAATTTATTAAATAAAGATTATAAATGCTATATATTATATGAATAAAATAAAATGCCAAATAATTTGATTTTATTCCTTTTATGAACATTTATATTAAGTTTAAAAAAGAAATAGTCTGCACAAAATTTTTTATTGTTTAAAAAATTAAGAAAATTAACAAAGGCAAAAAAATGTTGAAACCATTTTTTCTCAAAACATTGATTGCCAGTTAAAATAATTATTATAAACATAATTATTAATTGTGTATTAATAGTATCTAAAAAAATCTCAACAATTTTTCTTTTTGAAAAAATGATTTCAGGTTTTTCAGATATTTCTTTGACTTGCTCATTGTACTTAATGCTGTTTTCATTGCTATTGATAATGATGAGGCTGACTTATTTTTCTTATCCATTTTTATCTTTGAAATTTTTTGTAAACTTTATGTATTGGGAGGAAAAGAATTCATGCAACATTTTTGGAATGTGTGAGTTAAATTTGTTAATTACTACTTAATTATAAAAATATTTTTTTAACAGCTAGTAGCTTTAAATCAAATATTAAAAAAAAAATTGACAACAAATATTTTTAAATATTTTAATTGTATTAGATATTTTAAAATTTCAAAAATATTTTTAGCATGTAGTTTTTTTTTTTATACTATATTTACTTTGACCATCTCTAAGGAAGTATATAAGAAAGATAGTATTACATCAACTTTTGTGTTTTGTTTATGGACAGTGTTATATCTATGATTGGCTAATTGATTCTAACACTTAACCCTTTTTTTAAAATAAGGACCTGAGAATATAAAAACAAATTTTGAATGAACATTAGATGTAAAATCAACCTTGTAACCTTTTACAATTTTAAAAATAATTTTTTTTCTCATTCAGTAAATGAAAGTAATCTTTTTTAAAGTTTATAAATATGAAAAAAAAAAAAAAAAGATTTTTCTGTAGATTATTTCTTATTATTAGCTTAAAAAATAAATAAATAATTGTTAGATAAGATAATAAATAAAAAAAAATTTTGAATGAACATTAGATGTAAAATCAACCTTGTAAACTTTTACAATTTTAAAAATAATTTTTTTTCTCATTCAGTAAATGAAAGTCATTTTTTTTACAGTTTGTAAATATGAAAAAAAAAAAAAAAAGATTTTTCTGTAGATTATTTCTTATTATTAGCTTAAAAAATAAATAAATAATTGTTAGATAAGATAATATTCTTCTTTAACTTATTATAGATTTGATGTATTTGTCATTGGTGCTGCTTTCATTGCAACAATAGTGGAGAAGGCTTTGGGAAGAAGTAAGTTCAATTATAATGTATCAATAAGATATCTTAATTATGCTCAGCTCAAAAAACCAGATGCCCACATTACAAATGTTAATTACTTTAATATGTTTTTTTTTGTAATAAATTTCACAATGATTAATAATGATATGTTGAGCAAGTTTTGATAAAGTTTTTTTTTATTTCATTGTTACTTTGTGTGTTTTTATACAATTTAATGATAATTTGGATTTCTTGATATGCAAAAAAAAAAAAAAAAAAAAAAGATAGGCTTGTTCCAATTTTCCACATAAGTTAAAATATTATTATTTTTTTTCATTTTGCATTGTCTATAAATATATTTTTATTATTTAAAAAAAATTAATTTCTATTTTGTGAATGTAATTGAAATACCATTTACAGATATCTTTGTTCATAAAAGTACACTTCTGTTAAGTGTTAATATTACATTATAAGAGGATTGCTGACTAAAAAAGACTTCAATGAAAACAATTACAATAATAAAATCAATTTTATTTGTTTGAAATCATTTGACCTGTATCTTAATTAGTTACTTGTTAGTTATAATATAGGGATGGGCTTATACAGATTGCACTGAGAATCAAATATTCACGATGACATATTGACATTGACATTAATAATAATAATAATAAAGTTCATTTCAAAAACACGCTTCATACCCAAAGGCTCGAAGCGCGGTACAAAGTCAACAAAAAACATATCTATAATTCACCACATTTAAAACAAACGCAACACTACAAAAACTAAATACAAGCATACAATATCAAAGTCTTTCTAGCCATTTCAACCTGGAGCAACACAGCAACACATGGAAAATAAGGTAGACAATCATCCCAGAAGGTATTTGCGAAATAGATGTGTCTTTAGATCGGTTTTAAAGGACTCCAGTGTCTGGTTGTTTCTAAGATCGACAGGAAGGGCGTTCCAAATTGTTGGACCAGCAAATGCGAAAGTGCGCTTTCCGTAAGTCTCAAGGCAAACACGTGGTGTCGAGAGTTTGCCACTATCGGATGAGCGGAGCTCTCTACTGGGTACATAAGGCGTCAGCAGCTCTTTCAGATAGGACGGCGCCAGGTCATGTAAGCAGCGGTAGCACAAAGTTGCGATTTTGTACTCTATGCGAGCACGCACCGGCAGCCAATGCAGCTCTCTCAGAAGTGTTTTTGCATGGACGAATTTGCGTTTGCGGAGAACTATGCGAGTCGCATTATTCTGTGCTATTTGAATTTTATCCAGAATTTTATACATTCTCTTGTATACTTCTAAAATTATGTGAAGATATTTTCTACTTAATACTTAGCCAGTTAATTTACACAGTAGATTTATTGAAAACAATTTTAAGATAAGAAACTTATCTTAAATGCCAAGCGAAATGAAAATCTGTAAATGTTCATTTAATCATTAGCTAACCAAGAGCTAAATACCCTGGACATTTTGCTAGTACTTAGAGTAATGAGATTGATCAAGATATTTGGCAGCATCAAACGGTTTGTGACCTTTTTATATATTTTATTTTGAATTAATATTTGGATATTTTTTGTTCACTTTTACCGTTTTGAAATTATGATAAATTATTTATCTGATAGCTTTTGTAAAGGATAATCCAGATTTAAAATAATTGAATAATTTTTAAAACTTTTCATTTGTGATTGTGTTTAAAAAGTTTTACAAGCTTTTATTTATTAGATATGTTTTGAGTCCTATAAAAAAAAATACAGCTTCCATATATCTATGTGATCGGACATTTGATGCACAGTTGCTACTAATAGCAAATTGTATTACAGGGCATATTAAATTTTGACAGAAAATTAATTTACTCGTTCAGAAAACATTTTTTTTTTATATTTCAATGTTCAATCTCTAACATGAAAAGGAAGTATTTAATATTTCAGAGAATGCAGCTAAGATAATAAACACAAAGAACACAGATTATTGGCTGTAAAGCATTGTTTTGTATCTTTATAGAGCACATACAATTGTATAATTAGGCTAACTTTTATAAGTTGGTCTCATCTATTGTTTTAGTTACGGTAATACAAGATCAGTCATTTTTGATAATTGAATGTCATTGTATTTTTTGCAGATTCAAAGTCATTCTCTTGACATTTATTAACATTGGGCCATCCATTATCACTTATGGAGGTGTTATCTTTGTAAGTTATATCACCATTTTGTTTCATATTTCCGTTTATTGAAGTTCATTTCATCACTAGGTCTAGAGTAGAAATGCATTGATAATTATTCAGTTTAAAATCAATTATAATTTGAGAGAAAAATTTACCAAAATATGTGCATCAAAATAGTCCTGTTAGAATTATAATAGACATTCACAGTGCAAAAAATAGTACTGAACTGAAACATCTGTCAATGATATTTTTTAATGTTTTATTTTGTTCCCAATAGTCAATAGTAATAGTGTCATCTTTAAATTTTGTACGCATATTTATTTAACTACAGGTTTTCTATTACTTTTTTGCTATCATGGGAATGGAGCTATTTGCTGGCTACATCAGTTTTTATGGCTATACAGTTCAAGATAGTTCCAAGATTTTTTGTGGCAATCTTAATTTGAACAACACAGTATTCTATCGTGAACATTATTGTAGCAACAACTTCAATGACATTCTCAAGGCAATGATGGTTTTGTTTGAGCTGACAGTAGTCAACCAATGGCATGATATCCTTTTTAATAAAAGATTATAATAATTTTTTTCCTAGACAACTTATACATTTTTAGGTATAAATTATTTTTTAATGTAAATTTGGGTTACTAAACTTTTTTGACCATATCATGCCTATGTTTTATCTTCCATGAAATAATTATTTTCACATCCATTAAATGTTTAGTTTTATTTAGTTTTCCTTAGTTGATAGGTAAGCTTTCTATTTCGTCTTTATCATGATCTACTTTTAACTAGAGATGCCAGCCATGTAACATGATCCTTAACTCTCACACTTATAACATCTGGTTTTGTTGCTGTTACCAGCAAGGTGGCACGACTTTACTTTTTTACCTTCCACATTTGTTGTGTAGTGATTGTGCTTAAGTAAGTGTTAGTTTTTTAATTGCAGAAAAGTAGTAGATCAGAGACCCTCGGCTGCATTTATTGTGTCTTATAAAAGCATGGGCTAGTGAAATTGTCTTTCATTTAAACAAAAAACTAGGCGCTCAGTTATGTGTCTCCAAAATAATGAAAAAAAAATGTATAACTTTTTCTCAGGATTAAATAAAAATGTTATCATAAATTTGTATGCAATAATATTTTAACTAGAGGACTGGGGTAAAAATAATTCTTTGTGTGTTTCACACATTGACAGTAATGATTGTTGTTTTTATTTTCTTTGCTTTTATTGCATTATGGCAGATTATGGATAATTGGTATGTGGAAAAAAGTTATTTATAATAAAAAAAACTTTTCAATTTCAGCATATTTATTGCCTTTATTCTTGAAGCCTTTATTCTGGAATACACATTACAAACTGTTCCACGCTTAGAGTCTGTAGTAGAAGCTAAAATTAAGGAACTGGGTCTTGGTATTGGGATGTAAGTATTTCTATTAATTAAGGTACACCATAACATGTTTTAATTAGAGCCAAAAAAAAACTTCACAATATTAAAAAATGACTACAATTAGAGTTTTTTGTCCTGGGTGGATGGGACTCGTTAGCCTTGGACGGCAACTCATCTAAGAAGAGTCAAAATGATCAATAAATTGATCATGGGCCCTTAAATATGAACATTTAAAAAAAAAATGAACATAAGGCAAAGAACTTTTTTGGATAACCTTCATATTTTTAAGCTTGAGCCTGAGAAATATTTTTTATTTTTTTAACAGTAAAAAAAAAAATGGTTCAAATCCCCCCTTAAAACCATGTTTTTGAAATTTACTACTAATTGTAAAATTTTGTACCCAGATATTTAACAATTCTATACATAAATAATTTGAACTATGCACAACGCAATGTTATTAGGCATAGCTATGTTTGAATGTTATTTTCAGGAAAACAAAAATGCGCTCCATTCGAGGTCCATCTGGAAATGAAATTGACCTGATGGAAGGAAATATTCTCCCAGACATTGATGGAATTGAAGGAAATACGGAAGGAGATAAGTCTAATGATGAAAATTTACCAGATTTGTCAAAAGAGAAAGGCCTGAAATTTCATTTGAGGAAAAATAGTAAATTTTATTTTTTTCTTTGAATAAGAGAATAGGCAAAACAGGATTATATCATTATAAATTCTTAAAGGTTTTTTGAGTTTATGTATAAAACAGTTTATTTTATTTAAGCAGCTGTTGCTTATACTATAGCTATTTTTGTGTAGGATGATTTATTAAATCTCACGCCAATTGCCTTCATTTGATCATATTTATTAATAAAAGTTTACTTGCTCCCCAAGAATAGCTGCCTTACTTAGCTAATGAATCTACTCATCCACTGATTATTATATTACTTAAATGGTAGAAAGACCCCAGATTACATGCTGAGCTTAATTTTAGTTATTGGGTCACATATATAGCTTTACTTATGATTAATATATTCTAAAAAAATATATTTATGTGTGGTACAATGCACTAGAAACAAAAAAATCTACATAAAAGTAATGTTTTATATTATGAATAATTCACTAACTTATCTCCACCAGATAGAAAAAAAGTTGAAGATTTGCTACAGCAGATGTTTCAAAGTGAACTTGATGATGATGAGGAGGCACCAAAAACACTTACTGAATTTGAAAACTATCAGAAATCATTAAGACTTACATTGGCTGAGGTGACCTAGGCTGAAAGCTTTCCTTTATGAAAGTAAGGATTGAAATGTTTTGTTACTTAGTCTTGTTTAATATCAAAATGCAAATGTTTGATTTTTTAGCTTTAAATAATATGTTTGTGTGGTCTGAAAGAAGATAAATCAAAATGGAAGATGCCAGATTATTATTATTATTATTAATTTATTTACTAGACTTTAACAATACTCATGGATAAATAGAATCATTCCAGGCTAAACCTCTTTTCATTCAGTACCGATACCAGACAGCTGGTTACAGCCTGTCTTGAGATAGATATTTTGGATTGATTTAATTATAGTGTTAATTTTCTTAAATTGATAAATCTTTAATAAAGTAGTTCAATGACTGTTGAGTTGTTGTAATGCAGTGGGTTTATGCAGCATGCCTCTTGTGGAGCTTACAAGCACTGGAGAAATAAAGTTAGATTTTAAACTAAAACTGGAGACCTAAAGTTAGATTTTAAACTAAAACTGGAGACATAAAGTTAACTTTTAAACTAAAACTGGAGACATAAAGTTAGATTTAAATGTGGAAATTCAAAAGATATATATAATACAAGCCAAATAATTGGCAACATCTAGTATAGCAATTTTAATGGTTACTTTTAACAAAATATTTTTTTCAAAAAATAAAATTAGCAATAGCTTACAATGTAATCAAACATTTTTTTTTTTTACATTTTAATGCCTAAAGCCTTATTTTGTTTGATAGATTTATTAAATTATTTAAAACTTTAAAAAAAATTTAACTATAAATTGATCTTGATTCATTGTCTATCAATATTGAAAATGCTTAAAAATGTTTTTGTTCTTTTCATTGGTCCTCTACATTTAATTTTTTTGTCCATTCAAATTGTGTAGTTAGATAAATTTAATATTATTATTGTTAAGGTGGTTTTATATAGTGCAATACCCCAGCCTAGGACTAGGCTCACTGTGCTTCACATAAAAATTAGCAATTACAGAAAATTATAAATTTAAAAACAATTGGTAAAAAGCTTGACCGCACCCGCCCAAGTAGTATCAAGTTCAGTTTTTTTTAGTCTCACATATTAGCCCCACCCCCCCCAAAGTTTATCTCCCCTGATGTGTCCACCCAGCTGTTTTTTCATATAGGGATAACCTCTGTCATATATTTGTATGATTTAATTTTTAATAAAGGGTTTATTTGAAATATAAGTATGTATCCCTACGAGACTCCATGTCCAGATTTGATATCAGAGTTTGCCTTCTCTTAGATGAGTTTACCATCCTCGTTTAATGATTCCCATCCACAAGGGAGCTGGTGATGCTTTTGTTTGCATAGGCTTTTGCTGGGGTTTGAACTCCAGTGCACAAGCTTAGAACTGACTCAGATCATACCAATTGGCCACCCAGCACCCATATTTACCATAGAATTCAAAGGATGGCAGAGAAAGCAGATTAATGTGCATCTCTTTATCTTATTCAATGTAGGTAAACAAGCAAATTTGATTACTAAGTATAAGACTAATTAGAAACAAACAATTTGTGTAAATAAAACAATATATGTTAAGCTTTAATGATGATTTTACAATATTTAAAAATTTATAAAAATTCTTTGTCTGAATCACCGATGGTGCCCACAGCCTATGTACCCTTTATTATATCACTTAATGATTGTTATCCATTTTAATATTTAAAAGTACTTTAACTTTTTCAGTTTGTAAATGTAAAAAATGAATGTATAATATAATGTATAATATAATATATAATTGTGACTTTTTGATTAACACTTATTTTAATAATACTCCAAGAATAATAATAGGACAACAAATAAGAACTAAAGTAATTACAATAATATTTGACAAACTAATAGACACTTGTTTAATTTATTGTCTTCACAGAATTTATAAGAAAAAAATTGTTTGCCATGTAATATGCACTTTTATTTATTAAATTTATAATTCTTTGTACATATATATGAACAGTATTTTCCTAATTTGCATAATCTTATCAATAAAACAAAATTAAATGAAAATGTTCTTTCTTCAAGTTATTTTAATCATAGAAATCAAAGTCATCCTCTATTTTTTTACTGCTTCCAAATATCCCAGCATCTACTTCTGTATCTGTGTCAAGGTCAGAGCTGATTTTAACACCTAATGAAAAAATAATTTCAGTTTCAGTAATTAGTGATTTGAAAGTATATAAAGAAATATCAGTAAAATAAGAGATAACAGATTTATTGGGGCATAACAGTGTTTAAATTTTCAATGATTAATTGTTTAATAATAATAATCAGACACATGTAAAACTGGAAAATGAAAGCTTACCAAACCTTGGTTGACCAGATCCAAACTTATTCATCCCTTTTCTTAAAGGAGAAAAAATTTATAATTTTTAAAAATTAAATTAAGCAGCAATATCATCTTTAAAAAAGTTTATATTTTTTACTTTCTCTCAGAACATTATACAGATCTTTGTACTTTACCCAAAATACAATTTAAAGCTTAAAAACAAAGTGACTGTAAAGAATAGAAGTTTAGCCACTTTATTTACTTGGACTGACTGGCTAAATCCATAAGAGTGATGCTAACTCACCTTGGTGTGAAAGCAGATGGCACATAGACATGAGATGATGTCTGCATTGTTTGTGAGCTGGTCTCTGAAGGATCATCCCTTTCTAAAATTCTCTGCTGTGCTGGCAGCTGTGAACTAAACATGAGCTGCAGCATGAGGTTTGAGAAAAACAACAAGCCTATGTAATGTTTATTTATATTTAATTTGTTGATACATTAAATTTTTACTATATATTACTTTCCCAGTGATCTTATTTTGTATTTACACACGTTTTTAAAAAAAAAAAGCCACAAACGCATTTTTTGTTTGAGTTTGATCCAGTTCTTAATATTTCATTTTCTATAAAATAATATGGATATTTTTAATTCAAGAGTCTATAATATAGTTGGCCGACTTAATTTCTAACTATGGATATACATTTCTTTTTGTTGACAAACCAGTTATTGGTTTTATGGATTCTGTTTTTAAAATCGAAAATCAGTTATCACTTCTTACAATGAATTCCCAACTCCCCCCCCCCCCATAAACAAGGGATAATGACATATTTATAAAAGACCACCAGATGAAATCTATTTTTAAAACAGTAAAAGCAACACCTCATTTTGATACAGTGTGCTATCAGCATTTGAACTATTTTATAACACAGCAACTGTCTTACAAAATATACTGTATGTAAATAATTTAATTACTTATAATCATTTTTCAAAGTAAAAAAAAAATACATTTTTTTTATGGATTATGTATTACTTTGTAAAAATAAATAACCAGTTATATGTTTCAAAACAGATAACCTGAATTCTCCTTATTGTTTAGGATCCTTACTTCTAATTCTACATTTCAGTACAGTCAAGACTAAATAGTATTCTTGGCTTGCATTTAGAGAGAGCTGAACTTGTTTTTTTTTTAATAACAAATTTCAAGGAGTGAGGAAAGGAATAGGAATTAAAAAAAAAAATATAAGCAATAATAAAGTATGAAAATCACTTTGAATAGATCAAATAGAGCATTCATCTCAATAGCTATCACAGACGGACAACAAGTTACTGTGAGATAACATCAAAAACTTACACAGGCTTTTTAGAAATGGCTGAGGCAATTTGTTTTTCCACATCATCATCAGTGTCTTCTTGGGTGGAAGACTGGCGACGTGGCTGTAACCCAGTTGTACTTGATACCATACTTTTGTAGGCATCTGTTTCTGTAAATTGCCACAGGAAAAAAATAGAAATTTAATAAAGCCTAAAAAGAATTAATTAAATGTTCAAATAAAATATTTTTTTGTGTCATAGTATAATTACTTTTCATTTTCAATGTCTCACACACTGAATAGTACACAGAATATCACACTGAATGTCACACTGAGTACCAGTGACTTATTCAAAATAAAAAATGACAAAAAAGTTTGGGATTCCCAAAAACTATATTTTAAAAAAAACTTGAAATTATGCCAAAGATGAACATTTAAAAACTACATCCTATATTGTAACATTTCAAATACTATTTTAGTATGAAAGAGAGACAACACTTTTGCTGGTTAGAACTCTTTAAAAAATTTGTTTAAAAAAAAAAAAATGACCAAAACATTATATTTTTCCTATTAAATTACTTAAAAAATTATATAAGCCTTGACAAAAAAAACTTATTTCTAATAATCTATTAATGTTAGTCAAGAGCTTAACATTAAATCCCAGCCAGCCTACCATTAAGAGGGATAGTATCTCGAGGTATACTCGTGGTCAAGTAACTAGATTCATCATCACTGAATGGTTTGTCCAGTAGGCTGCCAAACTTCAGAGGTGGGACTTGAAAGATTAAAATTATAAACTTGAATTGTTCTCAAATTCAATAAACAAAATTCCCAATTTTACATCTTAAGAAATGCAGCTAAACTGAATAATGAATAATTCAATATCTAGTTTGAGGCATATATGTCCTGCATAAGTAACATGTTTTATTTTGAATGCACAGAGAAAATTTTTTTTGGTTAATGTATAATTTCAAAGATGATACAATCTCACCTCTGCCATCTTCCATTAAACTTCCAGAACCCCCCAGAGTGTTGCCAGGACTCACAGATGTATTCCATTGAGGTGTGCCAGGTTTTTCTGTGTTTAGTTCTTCCAGTATATAACAAATAAATTGATGGCCCTAAAATTAATATAGGACCAACAGTAATAAATTTGTAAATTATTTCACATTATTGAAGACAATAGAAATTTTTATTCTAAATTTTCTTTGAATGTGTCTGTGGTTCAACAATATTTTTTTCATTACATTTGAAAGCAGTTTCGATGAACTCAAATTAAATTGAATACATTTAGATTGCACATGCAAGAAATATCAATATATCACTATATCATTTTTCTTAGATCCTACTATTTTCTCATATAATTCACAGCAAATGCACATTTGGCTTTTTCATGGCAAAAAAAAACCCTCAACAAGGTGCGCTGTTTCACTAATAATAACTGTTATGGGGTAAAATAGTACCACTAATGTAATGGACTGTTGCATGCAGCATTGAATCATCTAGGATTTCACTGACCTTATCCTGGGAGCCTCCATCAGCCACAAGGCAGGGAGTGAAGATTGCTGACAGCTCTTTCGGTTCAAGGGCCTCTTGCTTAACCAGCTTAGTAAAATGAGACCACAAAGCATCCCATATGATCTGGCCTTTGGGAGAAAGTTGGTTTCTACAAAAGAATTATGAAATTTTGTATAAAATATATTTACACAATCATTTGATAATGTTGAATTATTTACAAACTGGATACAAGTATTTAATATGAAATAAAATTTGCCATATTTTTTTACAAGATTCAGATTTATCAATCAAAATTTTAGATATTTATAATTTCCTTGGATATATTTCATAAGTTTGTAACTACACTATTTGTAGCAAATTAATGTTACCTACCTGAGTGTAGTGGCAGTGAGGGTAGAGACATTTCCTTGAAGCAGATTTTCAGGTAGAAGACAATTCTCATCCAGGCTTCTGACTATTAAAGTTATCTGCTCCAGGACCACCATGCTGATTAAATTGGCATCCACACGTGTGAGATCATCCTCTGCATTTGCTTTTCTGGTGATTTATTTTTGACACAGATGGATACCTTGCCCAGTGGTTTTTAAAATAATTCATTGAAAAAAAAAGACTTAATAAACTAATTTCACCAAAATTATTTTTTTAAAGCATTATTTTGTTTGAAGAGAATTTAAAAGGCTAGAGTTAATTGTTTGTCTTGTTCAGGTCCCTTAGTAATATTTGACAAGCAAAGCCATGTCAGCCTAAATAAGACAACAGTGATAAAATAATTAGAAAATAAAATTCAATGTATGTAAAATACTAAAACAAATCAAATTAATATGTAGGAGTCCAAAACAAAACCAATAATTGTCATAAAAAATCAAGTTTCATAATACTAAATGTTTTAATCTAAGGACATTTACATAAAACTTTTCAAATACACTCAGATCCCTTCAGCACATTTGCATTAATGATACCAGTTACACCAAGGATAAAACTCCTTGGGAAAAGTAAAAGCAACATTAGACTGAATACTGAAGAAATAAACAATAGGTTTACAACACCACTTGATGCACTAACCTAATGATGTCATTTTTCTGTGCTGTATTAGGCCAAGAAGATCTGTAATATCCTTCGTGTGAAAATGCATCCACCATGTCTGATTCTATGACTTTCAGGAGATTTAGTAAACCATCCACAGAAAGCTCTGGCTTTATAGACCTGCAGAATGTTAAAAAGTACATTTTTAAAAATAATTATCTACCTATAATATGGAACTTTAAATATTTTAACTGTGTAATCATTTGCAACACTGAAATATCTGGCCACTAGATGTTGGAGCTTATGATACAAATTTATTGAGACTTGCAACATTTTTTACAATCATGGACAACATCTTTTTTAAAAAACAAAGAGGGAGTAAATGACTTTTTAATTAAATTTAATTATGTAAACAAAGAATAAACCCTCCAATAATGTAACAATTTAAATTTAATGACAGAATAAATCTATTTTCTCTTTATCAATTTTGATACAGTTTGGCAGTAAAGATATTATTTATTTAGGTGGTCATAATTATTTCTAAATCAGTCTCAAATTCTTTCCATTGCTTTTCATTTACGGAGTGTGGAAGCATAAAAATTTAAAATCTTTAAAAAAATTTTCTGACCCTGAAGTTTTTTTTATTTTGGTGCTCTCAACTTCTCTTGTATTCTGGCTGAATGGTTTGACCTGTGTGTTACCCAGTGAATTGGCCATGGGGAGATCACTGTCAGTCATAAACTCACTGGCCTCATCATCCTCTTTTAGTGGCACCATTGACTCTAAGTGGGCAATTACATAATTATAATAAAATATTAGCTGGGATTTTATGCTGAAAAATCAAGCTGTAAAAATTGTGCTTTCTTATTTTAAATTTGCTATGAAGATGATGTGGCTTGTTATTTTCAGTTTAAGTCATTCAAATTGCAAAATCGCTGCTGCTCCAGAACATTGTTTTTTTAATAACCAGCATAATTCCAATTAAGATAGAATTTTTTTTTCTACAAATAATTTGATCCCCTTTCTTTACAGGCAAATATAGTATAATGCATAGTTTACTTAGGATTGTTAAAATTAGTGGCTTACTAGATAGAGACTCTGTAGGTTTGTCAGGGGGTCTGGATTGGCTTTCAGCACTTCTGTTTGGATGAACATTTTTTTTATCAATTTTGTTTGGTTGTTGTATTGTTTCTTCTTTCTCTGGTTGGTTCCGCAGATCCAGCTGGTCTCCATGATCATTGTTAGAGAGCGGCAGGTTAGCATAAATTCCAGAAGGTTTGATCTCATCCTGTTCATTGTACTCTCCAGGCTTATGTGCATGCCCTTCCTTTTTATACTCTATAATATGGTTATAAAATATTTAATTGCTTTGTGAAAAATAAATCAAAGGCCAAATATTAAGCCGTGTAGTCAAATGATCACAAAGATAAATAAATATCCCTCTTATTATGGTGATTTTATGACATGCGTTTATTTTATGTATATTTACTCTTCTGTTTTTCAAGATTTCAGCAAGACAGAATAAAAGTAAAAAAATTATAACATAACATTTTAACAGTAAATGAATGTGGACTTAGGCCTTTAGTTTTTCTTTCAAGCATAAATTAGACTTTTTGCTAAAAATAAACATAATTATTATTCAATTACAGAAGACTTATGTTTCACATAGGTAAGGAAGTAATCTCTTTAAGTAATAACTATACTTGAACAAAACAAAATTGAAGCAATAAATAAAACTTACGGAACTGACTATCTTCATTGTATTCATGATGTACTTGCTCACCATGCTCTGGTTGTTGATCTTTTAGTTTTGTTTTTGATGAATCTGTCCTTGGAATATTGGCTCTCACTGACAAACGGTCATCAGTTTTAACAACAGAGTTTTCTTGGGTTTTATGATTTATAGAGACTTGAGTGTTTGAAAGAGGACTTTCTGCATTTGACCTTTCTAAATTTTGCTAAAAAAACCAAAAACAATTATCAGTATTATTAATTCGAATTGTTTTGTTAAGTACAATTATTATTCTGTTTCGAATAGGACAATAAAATTTTTTTAAATATATAAGATAGGATCAAAGGTATATTTTGAAAAAAAAGCAATGATAGAATATTTAGCAGAATTTAAACAAGAAACCTGTGATGGCTGATTCTGTTTAGATGTTGTAGAGCTTTTGAATTGCGATTGATCATCTGTAGGTGGCTCCTGTTGTTGTTTTTTGGGAAGTCCGTTCATCAGTTCATTCCATTGAGGATATGTTCTTGCAATGTAATCTTCATATTGCTTCTGAAAAATAAAATTATTTTTAATTATGTTTACTAAATAAACCTTTTTTTAGGTTATAAATATTCTGTATATATAACTATAAGAAAGACATAACTACCTTCATTAATGCTAGTTTTTGTGTTCTTGCATTCATCTCTGACATGTGAGTATCAATTCTCTGAAACTCTCTTAGGAGCATTTCATTTCTTTGTTTAGCTCGGCGCTCATCCTCACAAATCTTTTTCCAGTATGTATGCAGTCTTGTGGCTTTCATTTTGGAGCTTTTAAAAGTATTATGAGAAACAGAGAGTGATAAAAAAAAATTATAAACATTTCAGATATTCAATCCAAATTTAGTCTTAAGTCAGCTTGATCATATTGAAAGTCTACATTTTATTAACACTTGATTAACTTAAAAATTCTGATGTATATCTTAAAATAAAATTTTACTTACGATGTTTCATCCACCTGAATAGCTCTTCTGAACTCGAGGTCCAGGTTTGCTCTTTGCTGCTCACTGCAATTATCAACTTATGTCACGTTATGCTACAAAAAAAAACTTGTCCTCATCACATATTATTTGAAACATAAATATTTTCAAAGCCCAGGCTTTTATATGAGCTTTACAAAGAAAATCCATCTGCTTTTCTGAAAGTAGCTTACGTTAGCTATTTAAAAAAATATTATTATAAAATGTTAATTTTTCCAGGGGGAAATCTTGTAAGCTACATAATCATATACAAAAACATACCATACAGCCATACATACATGTCTGGAAATTCTAAAAGCTTTTTTGACAATATTGTCAATATTATTGACATAATTGATGTGTAGACATAGTTAATGCAGAGATTTATATTGAAATGTCTGCTTTTTTAAAAGGTAAATCAGTGAAGTTACTTAAGATTTACTTTTTAAAATTTGTACACTGATATTGATAAAGTATGAAATAACTATATTAACTTAACTAAAAAATACTGTAGATGATTATAATTATTGATATATTGATATATATTCATATCCATAGTCTAATATAATTATTAAAATTAAAGTATAATAAATAAATAAAAATAAGTATGAGATTAAGATTAACAAAGAGAAATTTAATAATAACTATAGGCATTTCTTAAACTTAGACCTTAAAAAAAATTATTAGGCCTAAAATTTCAGGCTATAAGTATAAGTATAAGTTATAAGAATAAGATTAATTAAGAAGTTTGATAAATTTTTAAAGTTTAAATATTTAATTTATTTTATGATGAAAATACGTTGGATGAAAATTGAAACATAAATGAAAGATATGTAATTTTGATGTTTAATCAACAGATATCACCCCCTTTTTATACCAGTTTGCTATTGTGTCTTGCAATTCCTTTTGCCTTTCGTAAAAATGTACATTTGAGGACGCCATGTTTAAACAAGTTACTGGATACCGTACCGGGAAAAAAAAAAAAAAAGATAAACAATTAGTAACGAAAAACGGAATATTATAAATATCAAGTTACCCCCTTTTTATACCAGTTTGCTATTGTGTCTTGCAATTCCTTTTGCCTTTCGTAAAAATGTACATTTGAGGACGCCATGTTTAAACAAGTTACTGGATACCGTACCGGGAAAAAAAAAAAAAAGATAAACAATTAGTAACGAAAAACGGAATATTATAAATATCAAGTTTTTATGATATTTCAATTTATTCATATAAAAATATTTTAAATATTTCATTACTTTAATATTTTCAAATTTATTCAAATCGTATTTTTATTTGTGAAAAATTACAATTAATTTGTAATATCCAGACCAAAATTACTTTGCCTCTAGATCAGTGTTTCCCAACCTTTTTTTGTGCCATGCCCCGCCTTTCTAAAATTCTTATGCAATCCCCCCCCCCCTTTTTTTTTTGTTTCCCCCTATCTATCATATACATAACTTTTAATATTCAAAAATAGGGTTGTTCATGGAAGAAACTTAAATGATAGGTTATAGGAAGAAATCACCAGGAAATTGGCGAGGAACAATAGTAAGTACATTTTCAAAATATATAATATAATGGAGAACTGAAATTCACTTTTAACGAACGCTAAAGTTTTTGTATTTTAAATTGAGACTTTAACGATTCTACTTTTAAAATACAAGTTAAATCACAGTAGACGGTTGGTTTTCAAATTCTAGACAGCTCATTTTCGAATTTTAAAAATCATTCCCTACACCCCTCTGCCATACAAACACTATTTCACACAATCTGCAAAGTCTTGATTTGTTTAAAATAAGTTACACATTAAACAACAAAAAACACCGTTTAGATTATAGGCAATTCTTTTTCGGCGTTGGCACCTTGCATCGTTCTAAAAAAAAATAAAAAAATTAGATAACATTATTTATTTATCAATTTTAAAAAAAAACTGTTTAAACGCCTAGATGATGCAAGATGTGCATGGTGGAGGAACAAAAATAAGGACAGACAGGATAGAAAATGCCAGCTGCCCTTGTTGTTTTAGCGTTTGTCCGTGTTGAACAAACCTAAAACTGGTTTAAAATTGGATTTCGGGTTTTCTGAATAAAATGGGTTTACATCCTTAGTTAATATTAAAACAAACTGAACTAAGATTTTACCTAACCGAAATTCTTATAGAGGGTTCGATTTATTCATTTGTCATAAGTTTGTAAAAATTTGTCAGATTTTCATAATCATATAATAATAAAATAAATTAGAAATATAAATGTGTAGCCCCTTATGTCCTATTATAATAATTGACATTTATGTAAATAAGGGGGAAACACGAATTAAAGTGCTCACCACAATGCTTCCATGAAGAATTGGGTGGTTGGCGAAATCCCGGGCGAGCTCCATTTTGTGTGTTTTTATTTTCTCGTTGGTTGTTTTTTTTAAAAAATAGTTGAATTTAGTTTTGAAATAACTTTTTAAAAAAATGTTTGCAAAATATCTGTACCAACAAACTAATTTAATAATCTTTTCCTCTCTGTTTTGTCTAATGTTGAAATTCAATGAAATCACTGCTTGAAATTAGAAGAATAGAAAATATTTTATACAGTGGCGTAGCGAGGGGGGGAATGCGGACCGCACCGGGTGACACCATTTTAGGGGTGACACCCGTTTGAAAAATTGCTAACCGAGACTCATAAAAGGATTACCGATCCCACATATATTTTTCATAAATGTAACCAATCCAAATGCGTGCTTTATTTAAAGTTCAAGGTTTATGCGCCAGAGATGAGATGGCCCTACGTATCGGTCAGAAAAACACCGTCATTATTCCACGCCGACTGAAGTGTTCAGTAACTTCCGTAAGTGAAAGGAGGCTATATTTATGAAAATTCTAAGAAAAAGTGCTTTCCATTGATATCAAATTCAGTATGGTCGGGCGATTTTAAACATAAGCATCAGTAAAAATTAAAAACATTAAAAGGAAATTTTACCCAGGTTTAGGGTTAAAAAATATATTATTTTACTCAATTTTCAATGTTTTAATGATTAATTCTCATTTATTTGTATTTAAATAAAGAAAAGTTTTTTGAAGACGTATATAATATTATATATCGAAACCCAGAAATATTCAAAAATTAATATTTTCACCGATTCGTCACTAGTATCACCCCCACCCCCCCCATGGCGTTGCTAGAGGGTGCGGGGGTGCGGACCGCACTGGGAGACACCATTTTAGGGGTGACACTCAATTGAAAAATTGCATATTTACAGAGCACACACCGCTCGGTCTAATCAAGATTCATAAAAGGATAACCGAACACACATATATTTTTAACAAATGTAACCAATCGAAATGCGTGCTTTATTAAAAGTTCAAGGATGATGCGTCAGAGATGAGACTGCCTATGTGTTGGTCAGATTGTTTGCTGTTATGTTACAGAAACGACATCCAAATTTAGTTACTGGCTTTGATAAGTGGAGGAAACTGAGCCCAAAATTACAAAACCGTGAAGCATCGTAAGAGCACCTATGTTGCCTTGAAAAGTGGTAAGCATTGGCCGCACGACTTAGGATACACAAAACAACTGATGCCGAAATTATTGCTTTTCTTGCAAAGCAAAATCTGGCATTTCATGGCCACAACAAGATGTATCTTCACATGAAACTTTTTTGAAATGGTTTAGATGCTATCTAAATATGACCCAGTGCTAAAAGAGCACCAAATGAGACTAAAGAGGAGAACATCTACAGAAAAAGCATCCGTATCTTACCTTTCACCAGAAACTCAAAATTATTTATAAATGCCCTTGCAAATCATGTGAAGGAGATTCTTATCATGGATATAAAGGCTGTGAGGTAATTTGGAATTAAGTTCGAAAGTAAACCTGATATATCAGATACTGACCAGATGTCTGAAGTGATCAGATATGTGAAAATCCACAATGGGAAAGTTGAAGTAAGAGAGTGCTTTGTTGGGTTTTTCCTTTTAAGAGTGAAAAAAGCTGATGACCTCAGTTCTGACATTCTTACAAATCTAAAACGTGATGGAATAGACATAATGATCTTCAGAGGTTACGATAATGATGCCACAATGTCTGGAATCCATGGATGTGTTCAGGCAATTGTAAAAGGAGCAATAAGAAGCAATTTTTAATGGATGTGTGGAGTGTTCTAATTGAACAAACTGGAATGACTTTGAAAAGACTGTCAACAGCGCGTTGGAGTGCTCATCGTGCTGCTGTTAAAACAGCGAAAGATGAGTTTGATGAATGTGTAGCAGCGATTGAAGCTCTGTGTAATCCTCTTGAAATTTCGGATACAAGAGGTACAGCAATAGGTCTTTCACATGCTGTCTATGATTTCACGTTTATCTGCTACCTTTACCTTTGGGCTGATCTACATGATGAAGTTAATCTTACACAGCAGTATCTGCAGAATTAAGGCTTTACCCTTGACAAAGTGGTGACAAACCTAGAGGCCTTAACATTGTTTCTGAACGAGAAGCGCTGTCACTTGGTGGAACATGCTATTGGAAAGGCACTTTTAAAATCAGACCAACATGGAATTTCTTTAGAGCGAAGATTAAGGTTTAAGAAGAGAATGGCATGAGATCAATTAACAGATGCTTGACTTTCTCTGCGAGAAGAAAATAGAAGGGAGATAGTGGAGTGTTTTGATCGCCTTCATTCTGATCTCCAGATCAGATCATCGGCGATTAAGGAAGTAGCAGATATGTTTTAGTCTGTTCAACCCAAGCGTCTAGTGTCAACAAGCGAAGAAGAGTTATTGGTGTCCTAAAGGAGCTGATATTGAATTTCAAAAAGCTTTGGACTGGTCAGTATTTGATGTTTTTAAATTCATAGCTGTATGGGATTTCCTAGAATCTATTCCAGAACTCTCGCTAAGCCTTCATTTATTTCTTACGATCTGTGTGTCTGTGGCCTCGTGTGAGCGGAGCTTTTCAAAACTAAGGTTTATCAAGAACTATTAACGATCCATCATGGGAAAGTCAAGGCTTTTTTATCTGGTCCAGCTATCAATTGAAAGTGATATGGTTAATGATATTGATTTTTATCAAGTGATTAGCAGGTTTGCAGCATTGAAGACAAGGAAAGGAACATTTTAAATCAAGAAAATTTAATGTAAAAATAACTATAACTTAATGTTGTTACATTTTTTAAACACATTGACCTCATTACCTTCAATGTATGTGTTTTTGTTCTTGACATTGTTATACTGTGGACTTTTTAAACAAGATGAAATCCAATAAGGAAGTTGGGGGGGGGGGAGTGACACCATGAGTTTACCGCACCGGTCGACACCAACCCTATCTACGCCACTGATTCTATAGAATCTTTATTTCAATGCTAACTTATAAAAAAAAATGTACGTCCCTTTGTCTTTTCTATAACTACGCTATAGTAATTAATTAGAGTTGAATTCCATAATCATGCAAATAGTCAAAGACATCGTACAAAATTCTTATTAGCTTGGGAAAAGTTGCCAGTACCCGTTGACTCAAATGTAGATCTTAAGGGTCGTCCATTAATGACGTCCATAATTTTCACGCAATTATTGACCCCTCCCCCTTGTCAACAACAGTCAAACTTTCAGTGACTCCCCCTATTTAATGATGTCAACATTTTATACCCCCCCCTCCCCCAGGAAAAAAAAAGAATTCTAATATAAATAAATTTATAAATACACTGTACTCCACACGGAAATACACGGAAATTTGGTCGAATCTTTTTTTCAGTTCACACGTTAAAATTTTCGTCAGATTTCTTTTTGAACGCCCAGTACTATATAGTAAAACAAAATAATGCGTTCAAAACGAAATTTGGAGCAAAGTTTTAACGTAAAAACTGAAGAAAAAAAAGATTCGACCAAAATTCCGTTCGATAAAATTACCGTCGACCAATTTACCGTCGACGAAATTTCTTTCGATCAAATTTCCGGATACGATTTTAATGACACAAATTTGTAGGAAAAACATTTCATTACATGTTTAGCTTGTTAATCAACAAGTTTAAAAGTTTTTACACTTAAATTTTATAATGCAGAATCAATTAAAAGGTTTTAAAGACTAAATATCGTTGTTTATTGCAGTATACATATGATTATTGTCAGTAAAGCTGACAATTATAGTATATTTTCTAGCTGCTATCATCTTCCCAAGGAGTAGCCAGGTCCAGGTGTTGCTCTATCGTAACAATGAGCATCAGGGACATCATTTGGGTAGGGCAGGGGGGCATTGCCCCCCCCCCCGAAATAAGAGGTTTTATTTAAATTGTACTCTCGCGCCTCCAGTAATAAACAACTTAACAAGCCGACCAAGTTTTGGTTTTGCCCCCCCCCCTCCTCTGAAACCCCTGAAATGACGCCAATGGTGGGCCTAGTCTATAATAGCCGATTGACCATTTTCATCTTGCGGAATTGATATACCAGAAAAGTCAACATCATCCTCATATAATCATTCAGCACTTAAAATAGAAGCATTGTCAGTGTGAGCAATAATTGCCATAAGCTCTCTCTGTCTCCCGGCAGCCACTCACATTGGTCGAATCCTTTTTTATTGAGTAGCAGGTGGTAATTTCTTATGCTGAAGAGGACATTGTCGGTGCTGTTGAACATGCTTTTTCATATAACGTGTGATGCAAAATAGATGTTACAGATTTTGCAAATCCGTTCAACCAGCGATGTTATTATTGATACTCATATTCACTTTACTTTCCCCTAATTCTCAATATCATTTATCTTGACTGCATATGACACCTAAAATTTACACTCATTAAATTTTGTCAAATAATGTAATAACCAGACAATTTTAATTTAATAGAGAAAACGTTATTTTTGACGTGAACTAATCTACCCCCCTCCCTCCCCCTGGTCAACAACTGTCAAACATTTCCAAACCCCTTCCCCTTATTTTGTTGGAATAATTAATGGACGACCCCTTATATTATTATATGTTTAGACCAGAAAATACACTAAAGTAGTGGTTCTTAACATTAGCTAAATAAATAAGGCATTAGTTTGAACGCAGGCCTATCATTTTTTTCTCGTACTGTGACTGTGAACTAAGAATGGGGTGTGCAAATTGTTTGAAATAATTTTTGTGTTATCTTAATCTTGTTCAGCAATTTTATCAATTTTATTTTTTACTTATTCAGTCTTCGACCGTTTCCAATGCTAATTTATATTTTAATAAATTTACTTTTAATTGAAATGTGACTGAACGTTTGTATGTGAAACAAATATTTTTTTTTTTTTTTTTTTTGCGGGTCAACGCCCATGAAGATATTTGAGAGCCCTTAAATATAATAGCTCGAAGTTGATCATCCCGGTAGACAATGTCTTATCGCGGTAAAAAGACGGCCTAACTGAGTGTCCCAATTTCATATCTCAAAAATATTTTTTTTTTTTTTTTTTTGCGGGTCAACGCCCATGAAGATATTTGAGAGCCCTTAAATATAATAGCTCGAAGTTGATCATCCCGGTAGACAATGTCTTATCGCGGTAAAAGGACGGCCTAACTGAGTGTCCCAATTTCATATCTCAATCTAATCTGACCCTGGGTTATTAGCTAGGGTGCTAGGGGAAATCTAGGTGCAATTCTCCTTAAAAGCCATGTCCACTAAAATCACAAGCGATGACTTCGGTCATACACAAAGTGGACAAAAAGTAACTCGGTGAGTGTCATATCCCTACATTTATTAGCTAAACATTCCATGTCATGTCCTTTCTTCTACTTCTTTGTCTTCTATGTAACTTATACTTATATTTAGTATTTAGGGGGCATCTATCGTTTTTGTGAAGATTTGTGATTCGTGACAATGGGGAGAGGTAAAAAAAATCGGCCTTAGGCCTAGCTGGGCCAAGGCAGGGCCTTTAAACCCTAACTAACATCTAAAAAAATCTTAAGTCCAACTATGTCTAATGCACACCAAAGACCAAAGGCAAATCACGGCAAATGCCAGTAAATCATAGTTTTGCCGAAAGTTTTGAAAATTAAATTGAACCCTTAAAAAATTCACTTCCCATGGATATCCAATTACCAATTGCTCTAAAGTCTAAAGTCAATTACAGTACCTGTGTCAGAAACATTTCACTGGTGGAACAGTGGTTCTAAAACTAGGATCAAAGCACCCTCTTACTCTTTGGTGCGGAAGACAGAAAACTGTATTTGCTGCCTTCAAAAAAAAATAAGTTTTTATTCATTTTGATTTTGATGAATAGCAGAAGTAAATGTTTGCTGGTGAAATTTGTTTGCTGTATAACTTGTTTGGTCATTTTTACTTACTTGTTTCTAGAAAGTTGTTTGGAGATCAGAGAAATAAAGGTTCAATAACTAAATTATTATAATTTTAAAGTTTTTAATTATAATATAATTTAGGCTGGAGTAGGGGGCATGTTTTGAAATTGAGAAGGGGTGCAGCGCTGCGAAATTGTTAAGAATCATTAACCTAGAACATTTACTAAGATCACCCCATCCCCCTGGTCCACCATTTTTAGTTCCATCCCACTTCATGTGTCATCCCTAATTCTATGATTCCCGTCTCCACATTTCGACATAGATTCTCACGACTTTTCAATTTTTTGTTACTACTCCCCTATTCTCCTCCTCCGTGGCGGCCTTTTAATTGATCTGATACCATATTTCGTACCTTTCACTTTCATAACTGTACTGTTTCTCTCAGTGATAGAAGTTTAAAAATAAAATAATTTTAATTGCTGTAGATAAGAATAATGTTAAAAAGTCTGTAATTTAGTATTATTAAGTGCAATTGTTTTCAATAATGTTCCGCTGTTAATGTGATGTCATATTACTCAACACCCCTAGCCCTCCTAAATCGCACATCCTAATAAAATTTTTACCCAGACATGTGATGTCATTTATGGATTACTTTGGATTTTTGTACCAAAAAGTGGGTAATATCTGAGGCCTAATAGTTTAGGGCTTCAACTGTATTCCCTACATTAAGTATTCTTAATTAAGATATTTAATAAATATTTCATAAATTATAAAAAAAGTGTGCTTACCTTAGGCCTAGATGAGGCCACCTCAGTCCTCAGCTCAGAATTTTCCACCACTAATTATTCATTGGTTTTACTGATTTACTTTGACTTAAAGATTTATTTTCTAGGCCTGTTTGTGAAATCTGTTATTTTTTCTTTGGCCCGTATGCTAATTCTAAAAATAAAAAATATAGGCCTACCTAGATTGAGATGTGATTCACCTATTGATTAATTGCGAGTGTGACATGCTTGAAAGTAAATTGCAAGGCAAAATGTAAATTAATTGAGGAGAAAATATCATAGATTGTTAACAAACAGTATTCATTTTATTTCTTCTTATTGAAGGGTCATTTCTATTTTATTAATAATTATGATACTTACTTTCAGATATACACTAACTAACAGTTCAGGAGCCAGTGTTAAGATTTTAGATCTTGGAGGTATAGTTACAGAAATTAATGTACCAGACAAAGATGGTAAACTAGGAGATGTCACACTTGGATTTGACAAAGTTGAAGGTATGAAACTTTGTTGAAGAGTTTAAAGGTCATGGCTGGTTTGGGGCCCATTAATTATGCTAAAATCCACGTCCATTCTAAATTTGAATTTTGAAAATTATTGTAAACTTTAAGTTACCTAGAATTTACTTGCATCATCATCAGTGGTGCTACAGCGGAGGAGCGAAGCTGTCGAAGGCGTGAATAGACAGAAAGAAGTTCGGTAAGATAGGAAGGGCAGGAATTCGAGAACAAGTTGTGGCAGAGAACAGAGAGTTTGTAGTCAATCCGTGTTTGTACCATGAATATAACCAAGATAAATAAATAAATACAAAAAATATCTGTTGGTTTGTACAGATTCTCCATCCATCAGACTCTATTTTTATCCTCAGGATTTTCCTCTCTCGTGTATTGAATAGGTTCTCTGCTTTTCTGGTGAGGGACCAAGTCTCACGTTCGTAAATTACACCTGGTATAAAGATAGTGGTGTAAAGAGCTTTCTTTAATCTCCTTGAGACGTTTTTGCTACATAGTAGCTTTTGTAGGCTGAAATAAGAGCAGTTACCTGCTATTATCCTTTCTTTCAGCTCTGTCATTATTTCATTGTGCTTATTTATAGTATCTCTAAATACCGGTATTTGAAAGTAGTCACTCTCTAAGTGTGGCTGCTTATTTTAATGTTGTCACCAGTATGTATGTTTTGTGACATTACCATTTATTTTTTTCCTTGCTTCATTTATCTCAAAGCCAGCTTTAACTGAGGCATCTACCAGTTCCTTGAATGCTTTAATTATATCATTGCTGTTCTGCCCAGTAAAGCTACATTTTCTGCATATCCCAGGTACTGCAGTTGTTGGCTATATAAAGTTCCTGATGCTTGTGGTTCTTTAATGCTGGTCTGGAAGTAGTTTGTGATACTTCCACTGGTACTCACATGTATATTTCTTTCAACTTTTTATAATTTTGTGTTGAATAGGATACAGGATTAGTGAGTCTCCTTGTCTGAGGCCATTATTAATCAGGAACTCCTTCAAGTTCTCTCTCTGTACTTTGATTCTACTTTTGAAGTTAGTCATCGTCATATTTATAAGCCTGGTAAGTTTGTTAAGGACTCCCAAGTTCTTGTAGTGCATTTTACAGATATTTCCTTTCTAGGGTATCATAAGCTGTTTTGTAGTCAACATATAGTTGGAGTATGTTGATGTTGTATTTGTAGTTTTTCTCCAGATGACATCTGATAGTAAAGATAACTGTGGTTCATCTATTCTGTCAGAATACACACTGATAGTTCCCCAAGATCTGTTTGCTATTCTTTTCCAGTTTTCTTTTTTATAAGTTGAGTGAGGATTTGGTAAGTTACATTAAGTAGGGAGGTTCCTCTATAATTTGAGCAATCCAACTTTCTTGTGAATAGGGATTTACTTGCATGTCATTGTTTAATAAGAAATTTTGTTTTGCATTAATTATTGTGAGGAAGCTCTTTTTGTACATTTGTGGAGTCTTCTTGACTGAAATGTATTTGTTTATATTGTCTTGCTAATGAAATGAGGATGATCATATAGTCATAAATAGAAAAATAGTAAAATATATATTTTATTTGTATCATCAAGAACGAATACGCCTTGTTACACTTTTTTCTTTGGTGAACTTTCAGACTATGAAGAGAAACCAGGCTATCTTGGAGCACTTATTGGAAGAGTAGCCAATAGAATAGCTGGAGGTCAATTTACTTTGGATGGCAAAACCTACAATCTTTTTATAAACAATGGACCGAATTCGTTGCATGGTGGCAAAATTGGATTTAATAAGGTATGGTTTTTTTTACTATAATACATTTTAAAAATGTATTGTGCCCGGAAATAGTTTTCATCTTTGAAAATTATTAATAGTTAAAAGCAATTTTGTTCTGTCACTTATCCAGGTGGCTCCTAATTCACAATTGTAAGAGTTACCATGATTCACAATAAGAATAATTTTCAAAATTGCAAAAACAATGAATGGACAGAATACTTAAAATAATCTATAAAAAAAAAAGAAATGATTTAAGATTTTAGTGCTTAAAATATTTAACAAAGAAATATACAGGACGCATAGACTTGTCCTCTTAATACTTTGAAATATGATTATCAGAATATATTATTTATGTAAATATATATATAAAAGCAGGATAAAAATAAAGAGATGTTTGAAGTATTCTATTATTTTTATTCAAGCAGTTGTTAGTCAAAGCTCTTAATAAAAATACCAATCAACGTTTCACTTTATGTACAAAATTATCAATCCGGCTTCTGTTGTTTATTTCTATTTTTATCAAAACAAAATTAAAGTTTCTAAGCTAATCCAAAACTTGAGTCATCTAGAATCTCCTTAAAAAAACTTTGCGCTCTTGCTTTCATGCAATAATAATAACTTTATAATAATGATATATTTTTGAATTAACTGTAGAAAATCTGGGATGTGAGCATAGAGAATGAAAAGCTGGTCTTGAGATATGTGAGTGCTGACGGTGAAGAGAACTATCCAGGGGAGCTAACTGTGAAAGTTATATATGGTTTCGATGAAGATAACCAGCTGACCATTGATTATAGTGCCACCACCACAAAGGCCACACCCATTAACCTCACCAACCATGCATACTTCAATCTTGCAGGACATGTAAGGAGATACATTATTTTCTAAGATCAATATTTTGTAATTACTTTTTATATATTTAAAACAAAAGTTATTTCATTTTTTCTTTGTTTACTTTTTTTGCTTGTTTTGATATTGTTATGCTAGTGAATTAATGTATTTTGAAACCCTTGTAAAAACCAGGCCACAGGTCACATCAAAGACCATGCCATCACTATCAATGCTGACAGTTACTTGCCCTTAGATGAAAACAGCATTCCCACAGGTTCTACCATTTTTTTTGTTCGCCTCCACCCCTTTCCCCCCTCCCACCCTCTCATGAACTACATTTTAGTTGTGTGTGAATTTTTCCTTTGTTACATCACTAGCATTGACTTCAAAGATGTCCCCTTATTGTCAGTTACTGTAAAGGGCAGTTTAAATGAGAAAGACTAGGCACAGTGGTTTCTAAGGGAGAGTGTAAGAGTAAGACTGCCAGGAGGTTGACCAATAAAGATTATGAAAACATAAAGTAGGAGAAACCTGTTGTGTCAACTTTCACGTTTTCCCCGGACCTCTGTTTCATTTTTCATATTGTCTATTAAGGGGAGACTAGGGTTTAGTTCATAATTGTAAAATTATTGGAAGTATCAAATAGTACCGTACCTCCTTATTTTAAATGATGTAGATGTTAAATAAATCTGTGGCTTTCCTGGACGTGTCTCATGAACTCGAATTAAAAGTTCCACTTATAATCTGCATCTTAGAATGACAATGATGAATTACTTTCACAGGTGAGATACGACCTGTGGCAGGGACAGAGTATGATCTTCGTACTCCTGTGCGCTTGGGTGATCGTTTAGAAAATGTACCTGGAGGACGAGGTTTTGATAACAATTTCTGCTTGAGCAACAATGGAGAACTCAAACTGATTGCCAAGTAATTTAAGATAACTGCTTCTTTGTATTATGCATCACTTAACAAGCATTTCTATTCTTTCTTTAACCTTTTTTTCTGAAAACGTATCTTTCTTCATAAACTACAGCAACTGTGGAAAAATGTATCTTAAAGTTTTTTTTAAAATTACATCATTGACACTAGTGTAGAGTCTTTTAATATCTAGTGCAATGATTATTCTAGTTGGACCTACTTGTTTTTGAAGTACTGTTGTAGCAACGTGAGATGGTTAGGATGGGCTACAAGACCATAAGATAAAAAGAATAGAAGGCTACATAAGGGGAAGTAAGTTGGTGTAGTTTGTATTTGATTCTCTGATCTGGGCTTCTGTTTGCTGGGGTTTACTCATGTAAAAGAAGAGATTTAGTCAAAAGTCAATCTTCAGTACTGCAGATAAACCATAATTATTGGAAAGGATTAAGCTGCCAATGATACACAAGTTAGGGATGAATTTATCATTGTATTAAATTACTACCGCACGTGCACACATTCACACATAATTATTATGATATATACCAGTTAATGTCACATTGAACAATTATTAATATTACATAGTGTATAAGGGTATATTTAACTTTTGTAGTGGCTTCTTTATGAGAAAAATGTTTGCTGAGGAAGGCTCTTAGCCGAAACGTTCACATCTTATTGTCCTGTCTTTAGATTCAAGCTTCCACATAACTTGTTCTACTAAAGCATTGTAAATACTTTCTTAAATTATTTGATGCACAAATGGTCTTACAAAGATGGATATTTAATTAGATTTTTGTAGACATTTAACCGGAAATAATAAATCACCTTTTCTCAGTTAATTAGTAAATTTGAAAAAAAAACTGTGAGAGATGATTATGAAGATAGGCGATGACCGTTGTAAATTATTTCATGTATTTTTTTGTATTTTTTTATAAAAGTGAATATTTGATTGTCTACAGAGTTGAGCACCCGCTGTCTGGCCGTTACATGGATGTCCTCACTGATGAACCAGGTATTCAATTCTACACAGCTTTCTGGCTGGCAAGCATGACGGGTAAAGGAGGAGCAGCCTATGGACAGTTTGGTGCATTTTGTCTAGAGGCCCAGCACTATCCAGACAGTGTTAACAAGGTTAGGAAGCTGGCATAATGTCAGTTGACCTTTTCTTTCAGCCTTAGGACAAGCAAAAAATTTGTTTGTAGCACAGATATTATTTCAAAATTCTATCAGGCTTAACTCATTCCCTCCGGTAGCGCTACTTCCCGACTTAATTTATTTTCCTGAGAAAAGGGAAGCAACTCAGTTTTGAAATTGATTTACATTTTTAAAATATTTTTTTAAGTTGCTAAATATTATTTAATGTTAATGAATTAAGAACAAATGCAACAAAAAATGAATAAGGTTTAATATAAACATAACATTTGAGAGGGGAAAATAACGAACAATGGCCAAAAAATCGATATTCGGCACCTCGGACGAACACATGCTACATATAGATGCGCCGTACAAAAGCACACGTAGTTTTAAAGTGAAACAAGATAAAAAAATTCCGATTTTTAAATTAAAATCATGCAGAAATCACGCCATAGCGGGAAGTCTCGAGGGACATGAGATTTCATTGCTATTTTTAACTAAAAATAAGAAAAGTGTGTCGCTATGTGGCCGGGACGCATTTGGACGCATCAGAAGGAACCCCCAGAGGACGCAATTAGTCGCAACCGCCGGGAATGAGTTAAACGATTTTTTTTAAAGCCTGTGAAAGCTGGTAACTTTTGTTTTATTTATATTTTTAAAGAATGTATTTCTAGCTTATCATTTAATTGTACTATAAAATAGTAATATTGAGAGCTGTACTTGGATAATTTAAAAAAATTATTCAGGACTAGAGTTTGTCATGTGCAAGTACAGCAAGACACATGCAGTTAACTTTTGGGGGGTTGTTGCAATGTTTACATTACTCATTGATTGTTGTATTTATAAAGCTTTTATTGGTTTTCCACAGCCACAGTTTCCTACTACCATTCTAAGACCAGGTGAGTTCTACACCCAGACAACAGTTTACAGGTTTGGACTCCTCTAAATGAATACACCAAGTGCTATGGAGAAGACAACCCCAACTAAACTTGGAAGTCATCAGCATTTCAGAATTATCTATGTTTAAACAATGAAAGTGAACTATGGTTCTTAACTTTTTATGGGGGTGACATCATTTAATCAAATTAAGATTCTGGTTCCCTGTTATAATTTACCTAATAGAGCAATTTATTTCATTTTTTAATATTAAACTTTGGTTGTTTCCTTTGTTAGAAAGTCTTTGTGATTTCTGACGGAAATTGCATTTATTTTAATTTTTATAAAATACAGTATTCTTTAAAGTCATAAAATGTTTATTCAAATCCAATGTTATATTTGTAGCATTTCATCCATTGTGAATGTTATATTTCTACTTTTACATTCAATTTGAGTGTTATAATTTATTTAATATACAAAGTGCACAAATAAACTTAAGAACATGCAGAAACCACTGTGATTAATTTATAAATTATATCATATCAGCTGTTGAGTGTGCAAGTTATTTAATATACATGCATTCCTATGAGACTTGGCTGTCAGCTAACTTAATAGTTACAAATATTTTGCACCTGTCTCTATAACCTCATCATACTCATAAAAGTAACTTTACAAACATTATAAATTATAAATTTAACATCAAAGAAAGGCCTGTCACCATTTTTGATTTTGCTGACATTTGTACTTTGGTCATTTTAACCTATCTTATAAGTTATATACCTTTGTTTAAATAAAAATAAATGTACACCTAATTTGTTATAAAAAACGTGCACCTAATTTATCTAAATTGTACACCAAATTTTTAATAAAAAATGTACACCTAATTTTTCAAAAACGTACATCTAATTTTTAATCTAAAATGTCAAAGGAAGTCTAATAATGATTCAAGTCTTTTATTATGAGTCCTTGTTATGTTACCATCATCTTCCTCTTCTTAACCTCTTACGCAAGTTCTTTAAATAATGAACCCGATTACCTCTCAGGTAACTGATCGTGGCAATAGGAATTTTTTATTTTCAACATTATTTAAAGTTTCACTTTGTTCATTGTTCATGGAGGATTACAGGTGCGTGAGAAGATGAAAGCATTTTTGTTTTCCTCTGTTACATTTAAAACATTAATTACCAGTGAACCATTTAAAAAAAAAGATCTTACTAAAATTTTTGTTTTAATCATGGCGTGTTTAAGTTACCGCATATAAGCCTACATCGCATATAAGCCTACATCGCATAGAAGCCGACCCCATAAAACTGCTTTAAAATGGCCAGTTTTTGCAAAAACCCGCATATAAGCAGACCATACAATTGTCTAATTTTACTCCATATTTTTGGTTCATAGAAATTTGTTACTGTAAAGATGAATAAATGCTTACTTTTATGTTACATACCAGTTTGTTTACCTTTTGGAATGACACAAAAACGTGTTCTGCTTTTTCCACATTGTTTGCTATAATAATATCTGTATACATATATATATATATATATATATATATATATATATATATACACACACACATATATACACATATATATATATCTGTACACACAACCAAATAAAGAGTCAGATAGCGATGAAAATGTGTGGCTGGAAAATTGGCCTTAGTGTCTGTCCTTGTGTCCATTTTGTTTTATGCGCATATAAGCCGACCCCCTGATTTCAGTATTGTATTTTATAGTTCTAAATTCGTCTTATATGCCAGTATGTACGGTATATAATAGCCATTATTAAACTTAACATAAGGGTGTGTTATATAATATTACGATAATCACAATAACTTTTTGTTTGTTCCAATCTGGGCATGTGTTCTTTCATTAATCATGTGATTGCCAACATTTTGTTGTTGTTGTTCTCATTTCTCTTTATGACAAATCCCACAACTGCTGTGGAAGAAAAATATTTCCTTTACTCTTGTTTTTTTTTTTTTTTTTTTCATCCTCTTCTCTCTCTCTTTTTTTTTTAAACAGAGTTTACAAATGTGTTTCCATGTAACCAGAGACTTGTCCATTCATTAACACATGCTTGTTGGTAAGCAGACAAATTGTCTTCATTTCCTTTACTCTTGTTTTTTTTTTTTTTTTTTTCATCCTCTTCTCTCTCTCTTTATTTTTTAAACAGAGTTTACAAATGTGTTTCCATGTAACCAGAGACTTGTCCATTCATTAACACATGCTTGTTGGTAAGCAGACAAATTGTCTTCCAATTTAAAAGTGTTGCATTGATTTTGTCAGTTCTTAAATGTTTAAAGAAATAAAGCAGATTTATTTTTTAAAAAAATGGATAGTTTCTCCTCATTTTCATGTTGGCCAACTTCTAAGTTCTTTCTTCAACCTCTGGTTTCATGTAATGTAGGCCTACATTATCTCATGTAATGTAGTGTTTTATGTAATGTACATTGTTTCATGTGATGTAGCGTTTTGTGTAATGTACAGTGTTTTATGTAATGAAGTCTTGATATTGTCAACTACAACCTATTTATATATATAAGATTAATTGAATCAGATTGCTATGGCATAGCACTTTTAGCAAATTAATTTTTTAGCAAGAAATATAAATTTACAGAGAAGTGTCTTGCAACCTTCTATAAATATTGTCCGAGCACGATGCCCTTGTTAGCAACCCTTTGTTGGGAGTTAGAGAGAACAGTAAACTTTCATTGATTATTGTAAACAAATGTTGCACTGACATTTAGCATTTGCAACAGCAGATTGAAACAGATCTAACAAATATTGCAAGAATTTATATTTCAAAGAAAAGTGAGTGACTTGTTGAGAATTATTTCCTGGTCTCGGATGGAAGAAATAACTTGGAATAATTTGTTAAGTAAAGGAGTTCCTCCTCTGGTGCTGCATCACTCGCATAATCAATTGAGTTTAAGGGCAGGTGAGGCTGTGTCAGGGGCGGAATGCCCCTAGCATGACACTTCGCGGCCCGACTGGAATAAAGACCGCCGAGGGAGTGGTTGAAGGCCGGTTGGGTTAGCGGGGTAGGGCGCTGGGGAAGATGTGATAGTTTGCTGATTTTCTTAAGTTAAGTAAAGTTTGTGTGTGTAAGTGGGATGGGGGTGTTAAAATGTTGGAGCTCGTGACTTCCGTAAAGCAGGGTAAGGATGTCCGAGAGAATTTAAATGTCCGATATTGGTTTTTGTTATTCTCTCTTAGATTAATTAGACACGAACAATTTGTGTCAGTATATATTAAGCTTTGATACTAATTTTACATAATACACAAGTATAAGTTTCGGCACATGGCTTCATCGGTTACCGGAAATTTGATCGAAAGAAATTTCGTCGACGGTAAATTGATCGACGGTAATTTGATCGACCGGAAATTTGGTCGAATCTTTTTTTCAGTTCACAAGTTAAGATTTTCGTCAAATTTCTTTTTGAACGCACTATACTATATAGTAAAACAAAATAATGCGTTCAAAAAGAAATTTGAAGCAAAATTTAAACGTAAAAACGGAAAAAAAGATTCGACTATATTTCCGTTCGATCAAATTACCGTCAATCAATTTACCGTCGACGAAATTTCTTTCGATCAAATTTCCGGATACGGGCTTCATCAGTACAACAACAAAACAATTAAATAAGTATAACTTAAATTTATATAATATATATACATAATATATCATATGCCCTATTCAGGGCCGGCGACAGAGTAACCTGTCGCACTGCGCCCCCCGCGCCCACGGCAACTAATTATTCAATTAATATCAACTTTCACGAATGAATACTGTGCTGCCGTTTGTTTCATTCGTAATTACATTCAATGGAATCTAATTTCAAAACGTTATTTTTTGCGCTTTTGCTTTAGCAAATGTAGAAACGAGTTCCATCAGTTCAATGTCTCTAGCAATTTCATGTTCAATTGACTGAGTATTAGCTAGTCCAACAATTTTTCTTGTAGCAAGGATGTTCGCAGATATGATTTTGAGCTTCGAGAAGCTTCGCTCACCACTAGCCACAGAAACTGGAAGTGTCAAGAGGATTCACAGAGCTATAACAGTGTTGGGGACACTATCTGTTAGATTATTTGTCAATGTAAAGTTTAGTACATCCTGTGGCGATGTACACCGTGCAACTCGTCTTAAAATGGCTTTCAGTTCACTGCTTAGATCAACTGCATCAATATCTTTGGAGTCTCCATGTTGCCAAGCTTTCTCAAGATTCCTGTGTAAAATAAAGAGCATATAAAGCCTGGGTCCGTCCGGTTTTAGATTATGCATCTTCAGTCTGGGACCCATTTACCCAGGAGAGCATTGACAGGTTGGAGGCGGTCCAGCGCCGGGCGGCTCGCTTTGTCCTGAACCGATACAGGAATACCTCTAGTGTTGGCAGAATGCTGGAAACACTAGGCTGATCACCATTGGAGGAACGACGATGACAATCCAGGCTCTCCATGATGTACAAAATAAATAATTGGTTGGTCTACTGTTCCAGTATTAAACAGAAACTCGTCCCTCACCCCCATAGACAGCGACGAGGCCATGACAGGCAATTCCGGCTCATACCAGCAATAAGCCAGTATAGGAACTGCTCATTCCTGCCCAAGACAATCAGGGACTGGAACAAGATTTCAAAAGAAACAGTTGAAGCGAAAACACTAGACACATTTGCGTCTATAGCCTCAAGCCTTCCAAACCTCATTTCATGATTCCTTCACAAAGTAGCACTTGTAATCATTGAAATATCCTCATCAGCACCAGGCACAGAAACATTGCTAATCCCCTCTACATGCATAGGGGCCAAAATGATCAATAAATTGATAGTGGGCACTAAATATATAGAAGAAAAAGTAAAAGTTTACTTTAAATTTGTCTTTTGGATCCTGAATAGGTTCGTTGTCATCTCCTTCGTATGCAAATTGTTTCTTCTTTCTTCAGATACGGGTTGGTTCTGGTTCGAAAAGTGCTGGTATCTCTAAGTTGACTGCAATTTCAGCTGCACTTACCAGTGTTTTCTCAAACTCCGTGTCATTTCTGCGGTGTACGAGAAACTTCTTTATTTCATCCAGATGATTGATGGCGCCATTTATATCTAATTCTTTTGCATGAAGAGGTTTACTAGTCATGTTGATCTCAAACAACACGTCATACCACACAACCAGAGAAATGACAAACTTAAAACTAGAAATGGTTTTTGCAACATCCCGTGCAACTGTTCGTGATGTATTACCAGATGCTCCTGTTAAATTTGTGTCATCCGCAATCTCTGCCAGAGCCTCGTAGACGTCATTAAGATGATAACGAAGAGGTTTCAAAGCATCAATTTGACTTTCCCATCTGGTTTCACACAGTGGTTTAACAGTGATATTAGAAACATGTTGATTTAAAACTTCCCAATGACGAGTTGATGCAGAAAAGAATACATAAACACGTTGCACTAGATCAAAGCAACATTTTGCAGCATCATTAACAGCCAACTTCAAGGTAAGTGCCCAGCAAGGAACAAACAATGCTCGGGGATTGACATCTACAATTGTTCGTTGGACACCATTGTCTTTTCCCTTCATGTTGCTGCCATTTTTATATCCTTGACCGCATACATTTTCGATAGCTAAAAACATCTCTTCTAACTTCCAAAGAATAGTTTCAGTCATACCAGTACCAGTTGTCTCCTTTAGAGGCACAAAACCCAAGAAATGTTCCTGTATAGATGCTGCTTCTGCTGCAATCTCATTTTCTGGATTTGAAATCACATCCACAAAGCGAGTGACCATGGTCAACATGACCAGCATCTGGTGTGCAATCTAAAATTATTGAAAGGTACTTACCATCACGAGCAGATGCTAGAATTTTTTGTTCGACTGCATTAGATAAAAGCCGAATAAGCTCATTCTGTATGTCTTTGCCTAGATAATGTACATGTGTCTAATTGTCTCTAATCTTTCGAAGATGCTAATCCATAAGTGGGTCAAACAAAGCTAAAAATTCCACAAAAATCAAGAATGTTCCGTTATCAGAAGTGTTCAGTTTCTCATGTGTTCCACGAAAAGCAAGATTTTGCATACCAAGAACTCTCACTAAAGCAAACAGCCGTTTCAAGATGTGCTGCCAATACTGTTCTTCTTTTTTAATGAGACGCAAATGTTCGGCATCAATTGTTTTCATGTGTCGCAGTCGCAGCTCAAGTTCCTTCCATGACTGAAAATTCGCCAGATGTTCGCTGTTTTTCTCATGTCCTGATAGAGTTGCGGGCATGTTTTTCCAATCACGTGAAAATTTATCAGAAAGAGATGACGCACCTGTTGCGCTGTGAGCAGCTTGCAGCAGAAACAATAAACAGAGCCATTACTTACAGAATACTGCAGCCAATGTCTGCGAATTTCATCTCCGTTGACAAGCCTGCGGTTGTAATGAATTTTTGGGAATTTCCTTTGATTACTGTCTTTAGGAAAATCAAACTGCTAAACGTGTTCTGGTCCATGCTCTATCCCAAATTTGTCGGATATGATCATCAAATTGGTCCAAGTAGCAATCGTCACCATACTTAAAAGGCTGCATCTATAGGTACCCGAGTACCTATAACTGCCAATGACTATTCGCACACGGAGTGGCTCCATACAGATTAAATGGCTTCGGAGCTGGGTGTGATGACAATAATAGTATGAGAATAATTTTTTTTTTTATTTTGTTTTTTCTCCTTGTTAATTCATAGATTTATAGTTTTATTCTTTTTATTTTTTTATTTTTTATTTTTGCTTTGTTAATTTCTCTTAGGACGGGTAGATTTTTTTCTTTCTTATTTTCTTTTTTAGTTTAAGCCATTTTCGTAGATCATTTTTAAAAAAAAATCTAGTAATGAAGATGATTTAGATACATTTATTGTTTTCATTTGAATTTTAGAAAAGTAATAATATTAATTTAATTATTAAAATTAAATCCTTTATTTAAGATTATTTATGTGTATTGTT